ACTGCAGTTCACCCTGGATGAGAACAACTTATGGGAAAGTAAAGCACTGTGAAATTCAATGGAAACGACATCTCTACTCATATCATTGTGGGAAAATTCTACTATCAGTCCTTCATCACCTTAAACGAAATAGGATGAATACATCTAATGTATATAGCTATCCTTTCCTAAAAATCGCACTTAGAAATTTGGTTAGTATTTGACATCTGAAATAGGTAAAAAATACGGATGCGAATTTGGTTGTGCTCCTTTTCAGAAACTGTTATTTCGATATCGCAAAGCTAGCCTTAAAATTGGTCTAAGCTTAGTTAAGTCTTGCTCGGTAACAGCCAAAATGCCTCACACGCTAAGCGGACCATTTTGTTTAACTCTTTAGCTATGTGGAACCTAAAGAATTATAGGAGATGAAGTCTCTTAGTAATGTATGAACATTCATGTTTAGCCTATATAGGAAAAGCAAACATGCCTGGGTATTTAAAATTAGTCCCTTAATTTAAAATGTAAATATATGGGTTTGTTAATATAGTTTTTTTGAGATAACCATGTTTTTAATACATTTAAGATACAAATATTACTTTAGCTCAATCTCCTATTTATTTTGATCCTATATGACAGCACTATTAAACAGATATTCATCTAAATCCTAAGTATAAAACTAATTATTATTAGCAATATAATATAGTGGTATCAGAGATGACTCTAATTGTTTTAATCCTCACAACTGCCGGCCATATCTGCGACTTCCGTTCCGGTTCTCGTTCCTGCCCGCTCCATGTACGACCGACGGTTCCTCAGGCGACTGATGCGCGTTGGAAGACGAAAGATGGCTAAATTAGAAGAGCATAGCCCAGGCAAGTTGCTTAACCGCCATTTGTTAAGTAAAGCGCTCGAGAAGTGGCAAATGATGCATCGACTTGCGAAGTATCAGAGCTCCTGGGCATACTTAGATCCGCCTTCACCAGATAGCTACTCTTGGGACGATGAATCTGATTTCGTAACTCTTTCTAGCCTCACAGATGCCAGGAAGTTTTCCGAACAGTATATGTTTTACGATCCCCCCGATTCCCCTATACCCGAAACAGACATTCAGACTAATGCTAGTTGTAGAGATGCTCCTCCGTCTTTTTCACCTAGCTCTTTTGCCGAGGTCAATTCGTGCTAGTTGTATTTTCCATTGCATTTGATCATTTATTGATAACATTTTATTCTGATTACTTGCATCGCACGCTAGGCGCATGAGCCGGAAAACCTCGACCTCCAGCCGATTGCACCTTGAGACAATCACCGTCAGTCTTTCGCCATCACCGCGGCAGGCATTCTTCGCCCCTTGGGACGAGTGGCCCAACAGCGGTAAATGGCTGATTCACTTCATATTTCCTTCCACTTCCCTCTTGTACAGTTATTTTTGTTATGTATAAACATATATATATATATATGTGCAGATTTCAGTTCATACTTTGTTCTATACCTTATTCAGCTTCTACCCAAGGTTCCCATTGTCAACGTGCGTCGGAGTTGTCTTCTCGGGTAATTTTTGGCGTTATTAATTAACGTGTCGTGCCAACTTCTCCAGATTCCCACTTGTCTCGACCTTTTAGTCGCCCGAAGCTTCATACGTGCGTAGGTAGCGCATTGGTTGTCATGGCGTCGAGTTATTTTAGTAAGGCTTGATCCATAAACCCTTTGGTTGGTTACCTTCTGGCTAACTTTTCCACATTTCTTAATCCTTTACTTCGATCCTACTCCATTATTCTTTTGTCCCGTCGCCTGACTCCTAGTGATAGGTATTTTATCAATTACCCAAAAAGGATCGCGGAGCTGGATAACCGTACAACCATTGCCCTGGTTTGAGTCTACTAATGGCTCGGCTTGACGTTTATTTCGATTCAAATCTGTAAGTCGTTCTCGTGGCTGATCGCCTAGCTGGGTCAGCTGCATTCTTTATCGAAAGTAGGTTCATGACTTCTGTCTCCGTCTGGATCCTGCACTTCCTACTCTCGTCTAGCGATGTTTCGTGGGTTCCCTTCTCTTATGTATAGGTTGACTTAGCACAATGTTCATACTCGAACATTGGAATCGATAATCCAAGCCTTTGATCTTGCCTCAGTTTCTTGTTACTTTTCCGTTTACTATCGTCAGTCTTAACATGAGTCTCTGGAATCCTCTTCACACAACGATCGTCATATCTCTCTTGCGACCATCTGCTGTGGAAATCCATCGTTCGCGTGTTGGAGGCTTCCGGTTTATCGGAGGCGTTTGCTGTGCCCCGAGCTGATGCTATCCACAACTCAATGCAAATTCGTCGTATCACACGTTTCAGCTCGCGTGTCCCATTCTTACTTGTCCGTTTACACACTTTGGGTTGATAGGTGACAAACAAATCAAGAATTCGCTGCTCGCAAATCGTAATTTTGCGATCTGACGTATAGCACAAATGAATCTCAAGCTCGTGGTCGCGAGGGAAATGAGTTGGAGCCC